GACTAAGAGTGCCCAATAGGTGAATAAGCCGCATTTCTTTGGTCTACATCTACATCTACATGATTTATTTGCAAAATCCAAAAGGACGTCTAGCAAATTCCAGTGCAAGTGCAAGATTAATTAAATAAATAAATATGTGCAAATAAAGTAATAATAATTGTGCTAATAATGATTAAATAAATAATAATCACTTAACATGTGGTTTTACCAATAATACAGACCCCAATCAACCTCATATCGGCAACCTTCCAGTTATACCTTAACTGGACAGGCCCCGACATGGGGCCAACCAGGCAGCTATACGATTTATAGGCAATGGAACCCCACGCCCCCTAGTCATGGAACAATTCCGACCCGAAAAACCCGACGACTACCAAACCGGACTAGGTCTACTGCCTCGTCCAATTTGGCAGCCACTGGAGTCCCCCATCCAACTATTCCCCAACCGGGCAGCATGGAGCTCCATTACCCATGCTAGTTGATAAAACTAGAACTTTAAGCAGAGATATGATTATTTACAGCTGTTTTAAAATTACACCTTTTGCTGTTCATTAACCGCAAAGGAATATTCATTGAAGCGAAGAAGCATTGTCATTAGAGCGAACAGGCATACAATAAGGCGAACGGAGTCTCAATAGTGCAATGGAACGTTCATTAAGAAATTTAGCATTGAATTTGACAATCATGAATATGTTTGCGTGGGTTCGTTAACGTTTTCAAACAATAAACCACAACACGCATTCAATACAGTGTTGTTTGGACATTTATTTACGCAATACAATATAAGTATATTGTGCTTTTACGATTGTCAAATTCAATGCTAAATTTCATAATGAAAGTTCCATCGCACTATTGAGACTCCGTTCGCCTTATTGTATGCCTGTTCGCTCTAATGACRATGCTTCTTCGCTTCAATGAATATTCCTTTGCGGTTAATGAACAGCAAAAGGTGTAATTGCTCAAACAGCTTAATAAACAGTTGAATATTTGGTGTAAATTTATATTTCATCCAATAATTAAATAAATTATCAGTAGAAAGATATAAAATTATTGAATGAAAGTCTTCTTTGTTTTGCCGATAGGACCCCGCGATAGGAGGCGAACAAAGCTGCATTTTTCTTGAACGAAAAACATACGATACGACCGAATTCTAAAGATTTACGAAGCTAAATAAAGGACGAATATTTGTTGTCGTAATATGCTCTCCGTGTTATATTTCCTCCAGCATTAAAATAATTAAGCTTATCTATAGAAATATAAAAAGTTTTGAGAGAAAGT